GTCTAGAATATGGGCATGTGCGAAGACGTTCAGAATACTCTGTACGTATGGCGGAAGCCGTTGAAGCCAAATCTGGCGTAGTACGGAGTCGTCCAGTGTGGTGTTGCCGACTAACGCGCGCATTTGGCGCAGCAACTGGGACGGTTTGAGGTTTCCCAATTGGATCCCTGACAGGAGGAGCTGGATGCGCTTCTCTTCGGAAACTGCCATACGACGAAGAAGTGCTTCTTTGAGCACGTCGTACGGGTTGTGCGCAGGGATATTCATGTAAATATCCCTGAAGTTGATAAGCATGTCGCGCGGGATCGCGGATAACAGCTTATGGTAACGGGATAGTTGCCCGGTGATGCGAGCCTCGTGGAATCGCGATTCCAGAAGTGCGAGGAATGCTTCTGGGTCCTCCGGCATGAACTCAGGAGCCCTGATTTGGGCCCAGAGTGCCTCGCTATCTATGGAGTGCTTATGGTCGGGGGTAATCATACTCGAGCGCAAGTATATAATATGCGATTTTCGAACGGGATACAAAAATATGACCGAATAGCACCTAAGATACAAACTACGTTGGAAAAACGAAAATGGAAAAAAATGCAATGGCAAATGATGATAAAACCGCAAAATGGGGGTGAATATAATCTAAAATTGCACCCACGAGAGTGTTTCCGTGAAAATAAATACACGGAAAATTTAGCACAAACGTTACCTAGAGAAAGTAAAATTCCTCCTAAAACAACAATTCTCCAACGTAACCAAAATAAAATGAGGTCTCACCAATTTGTAGATACTAGGTTATCGGTACCCCGGGCTAATAAGTATAGGTCGCAAACGTACGTTCGTACGAGGAGAGAACGAGGCGATTCACGAAACGGGGGACGACGTGTATTATAAAGACCTGCAGAGCAAGAGAGAGATACAGAGGCGTGAGCAAGCGTGCGGAAAGTGAAAGGAAACACGTGCTGACCGAAGAGGTGGCCTTGATGTGATAAAACAATGAGATGCACAGGAGGAAATGTACATTGAGAACGGGATGTGATTGGTTACTACACGATAGCTTAGAGTGGGTTCAAGGTTTGGCCACGAGGATGATAGCTAGGCAACGGGGGAAAAGCTATGAACAGCGGCTCGGAGATTGAAATCTGTTCAGTTCAGTTCAGTTCAGTTTGCACAGGAAGATTTGTTGCCCGGGCCAATCTTGCGTCCAGATAGATGTTCTTGGCTGTTATTGTGGCTTCTAACACTGAGAGTCAGTGGGTTTTGTCTGAAAGGCAAAATGTGAGATGCAGTATCACGTCCTAGGCAATGTCGCTCAGGAGTAATGGGTACTTGCCTTCAAACTGTTTCAGGGAATGTAGAAGACCAACAATCAAGTAATGCTATCTTAAAGGCTACGACGTTTGAGCAACTTACCACATCCTCTGGTAGACTATTCCAGTAAGGTAATACGCGATTTGGAACTTGGCTCGAATGTCCAGCCTTACAACACTCCGTTGCAGTCTTAAACCATATCCCCTAGTGCCACTTCAAGGAATGAATTGGAACATATCATCAAAATTAATTTCGGAGAGACCGTTCATGATCTTAAAGACTTCTATGAGATCCCCCTGACTCTCTTGCCAGAGATGACAGATAAAGGTCCTTGAGTCTCAGCTCGTAGCTCTTACGTCTTTGTCCCACCATCATTTTTGTAGCCAGGCGTTGCACTCCTTCAAGACATTCCATGTCTTTCCGAAAGTAGGGTGCCCATGCCTGAATACAATATTCCAAGTGAGGCCTGACTGTGGCCTTGTACAGAGGGACGACAACCTCGGGTCTCCTGCACGTAATCGTGGAGTGTAAATGAAAGAGTTCCCTTCGAGCTATATTAGCTGCCCTCTGATATTGCTGAGAGGGTCTGAGGTTGTGTGGCATAATTACACACGTATCTGTATGCTCCATTGGCAAGAGCCACAAATCGTCCTGTGAGAACTAAACGGAATCGAACGGAACTAACTGACTGACTGTCCTAGGACTATTCTCTTTAGAAAGGAGAAGGCTCAGGGGAAATATGATAGAATTATTTATGATAATGAAAGGTTTATCTGGTATTAGACCAGAAACCCTGTTCCAGGAAGCGCTGGATTC